TGCCAGGCTTTCTTAGGGCTCAGTCTTAGGTTCTGTTTTCCCTTGTAAGCCTACTAAATTTACTGAATACTTACTGATGGTTTACTATAGGAATTTTTATATTTAGCATATAAGTATATATGATCTTAGTATATATGATCATTTACAGTATAGCTAAGATATATTTTTCTCATAGCAGTTTGGTTACCATAATAGAGTAAGGATATCTATCTATAATTGCAACCCATGAGAATTTCCATAACATGCCAAAAGCATTGATTTTTAGTGTACTGTATCCCCCATGTGTGCTTTCTTTGTTTGAGGGCGTGCTATTCTCCGGTGTTGCTCTGGTCCCTCATTCTGCTGTTGCATTAAATGATTAGGTTCTAGCAACGCCCCAAAAGGATATCCTTGCAGTTCATTGAGTAGCATTTGATGTTGTCTAACACCTTACTAAATTAAATGGAATACCTAGGTAGAAATTCGGGCAAGCTGTGATTTTTTATTTAGAGGAACATTTTTCTTCAGGAAAGAAATTGGAATTGGTAGATGAGACTCTCTGTGTGTTTATTGTATCCCAGGTCCCTGCCAGGAAATTATTCTGAAGAAAGTAAAAAATATTTTTAAAGGAAAGAACTATTGAGTAATGAGATGTAAACTTTTCAGTGATGAATGATGTGCCGAGGGCTTATTGGAATTGCTTGACCTGAATAGCTCACTCTTCTTGCCATTTCCTGGCATTCCATTTATAATACTCAAGAACTCAATCTTTGATAGTGATAAAGGGTTAATGTATGAGTCTGATGAGGTGCTACATCAATACTGAAGAAGTGGCATATGAAGAAGTAATAATGACATTGCTAGAAATGAATAGAAAGCGATAGCATGGAGGAAGAAATTTAGCCCTTGATATATTTAATCCTTAAAATGAGATTGACATAGTAATTGAGCATAATAAGCAAGATATTTTCATTTGCATTTTATTGTTTCTTTTTTTTTTTTTAAATTTTTTTTTCAACGTTTATTTATTTTTGGGACAGAGAGAGACAGAGCATGAACGGGGGAGGGGCAGAGAGAGAGGGAGACACAGAATGGGAAACAGGCTCCGAGCCATCAGCCCAGAGCCTGACGCGGGGCTTGAACTCACCGACCGCGAGATCGTGACCTGGCTGAAGTCGGACGCTTAACCGACTGCGCCACCCAGGCGCCCCAGCATTTTATTGTTTCTAATCTTCTGTGGAACAGAAGAAATTGAGAACTGTCCCTTTAATAAAACCCTGTTTACCTATCCTCTTCTAGTAGGAGTGGCTTAGGAACCTGTAGAGTGAGGTGTAACTACCAATTCTGCATTCTGACCTGCAACCTTGGAAAGAGTGCTGATACTACAAACCAGGAAGTGACAAATAATGTGCTTTGAACTCTGTAGGACTTGTCTTTCATAAGGAAAAGCCTCTCATAACAAAAAGAGAAGATTGAAACAGTGATTTTATGTAGTTGTCATTAAATATTGGGAACTCTGCTGCGGATAAAGACTTTGCAGAATACTTAGAATACAAAGCTTTCTGGGCCAGAAATTGATCTTCTGACTTTTGAGTCGTATCTGATTGCTGCTTGGTTCATCTTTATTTTGTTAAAGTAGCCTGCAGGCTGAACCAGGACTCTTCATTGTTTGCAGGTAGGTGGTCAGCCTTTGGTTAAAATTTAGGATGTTTTTTAAAACAACCTCTTTAGAAAATTATTGTTATTCAGAGAATTATGAATATCAGTCTGGGTATATGTTTTAATGTTTAAATATTCAACACGACTGTAAATAAATGACCACATTTTTGTCTTTTCTGATCAACTTTATGGAAAAACTTGTTTTTAACAAATGAGCAGATCTATAAAATGGTGAACTTAAAAAAAGATGGTGAATTAAATGAGTTCTATTTTGTTTTCCACTAATTTACATACATAGATACTTTATATATATACTTTATATTTTTATAAATTTATATTTATATATGTAAACATATACTTTATATATAAATACTTTATACTTTGTATAGAAGTTCCTATATATATATAAACTCAGAAATGAAAAAGTATATTGAAATTACCCTATTAACTATTCACATCTTGATAGTTTTTGATAACGTATTTAAAACATTCATGTAGTCAAATAAAATTGTGTTTTTATTGTTAATATTTTATGTCTAAGTTTCATGTCATTCAGTTGTAGGAAGTCACCTGAATATTTATAATTGTTTTATCTACTTCTTTTAGTCTGTTTTTGTAATAGTTTGATATTTATTATTTCAGAGAAGTTTTTATAACATAATCTTCCACAAGTATATTGAAATATTTCTTGTTTCTCTTTATAAAGTTAACCATCCACTTATGACACTAGAAGTATTTCAAAGATAATGTCTTTGAAAGATTGAGTTATTAGTATGAGCTAACTGCTGTACACAAACGGCTTTTTTGGAGTGGGAATCAGAAAAGAAATGTGTTAGGATCAAGAATCAAGTTCCTTAACTTTCTCTACCACTAGTGATCCTTTTTATTTTTCTTTTGTGGACACTAGTCTTCCAAAGACTTTGTCCACCAAGCAAATGGTATATAACTAAATAATAAAATCTTAGAACATTATTGTTTATTAGACAAACATTATTTGCAATGAGAGTTTCTTATGAGCCTGAATAACTGCTCTAGGCTAATGTAATTCAGCCTCAAAGGGGCCTGACATTTTACTTAGCTTGAATAACTTTATTGTAGGTAATTGTTTGGATACTTTTTATTTTTTGAAATATTGATAGTAATGTCTGAATTTTCATCAACTACTCTTGTGGAATCTTACCAGTCTGGGTATGGCAAATTGGAAACTAGTGGTCTAAAATGCAGAAGTTTTTTTCTTAATTTCTTCGAGGTTCTGTAAAATATAGTGAGGGTCATCTAGTGTAATGTAACAAAGATTCCATAGCCACTAGACATGGAGAAGAAACAAGGAGAAAGAAAAAAGAAAGTGGCATCTGTCAAGGGGAATATCAGGGAGGAATTTAAGGCATATATTTGGCCCCCTTAAATCTCCCTATATTTATCTCTATTTTCCAACTTAATTTTTTTTTTTACCCCAGTTAGGTCAATAAACTATTAACCGACTGCAAAATAGACATTACCTATGTTCTTTATGTATTTATTTTGTACTTGTGTGTTGGTTTCTCTCTCTCAAAATTTCCTCCTCTCTCCATTTTCCCCATTCATGTCCTTCCTTCAGCTCTGCTGAAGACATTTAGCCAATGTGAAGCCTTATCTGATCACGCTAATCCACAGTAATATTTCTTGCCTTTAGACTTTAAAAAAATCTTTTTTTACATTTATTTATTTTTGAGAGACAGAGAGACAGAGCATTAGTTGGAGAGGGATAGAGAGAGAGGGAGACACAGAATCTGAAGCAGGCTCCAGGCTCTGAGCTGTCAGCACAGAGCCTACGCAGGGCTCAAACTCACAAACCATGAGATCATGACCTGAACCGAAGTCAGACGCTTAACTGACTGAGCCACCCAGGCACCCTTGCCTTTAGACTTTTATAGTAAGTTGATTGTATCAGTACTTTAGTACTTAATATTATAGCCTGTCATATTTAACTTAAAGGTCTCCCATGGTTCTTCAACTATAAGTTGTTTGAGAACAAGGAGCTTAACTTGTATATATCATGTTTATTCTTAGCCATGTAGTGCAGTGATACATGTTTGGAGGTTCTAAATAAATATTTGCTAAATGAATGAGAAATAGTCTTGCCAACAGTTGCCTCAGGTGTTATGCTGCCTCCCTCTACTGTGCTTAATCATGTAATTAACCACCTAAAATGTTTCTAGAAATCAGACCATTGGTTATCTTATTATTATTGTTTTTGTTTTGCTCTACAGTGCATGCATGACTTTTTTGTTTTAGATGATTTTAACACTGATATGTTACCTATAAAGAAAGAACAAGATGGATTTTTTTATAAATGAATTAAAGGAAATACTCTGAATTCTATCCTGTTGCCTTTTATATTGTAGGAAAATATAACTTAAAATTTACTGATATATAAGGTGTTAAAAATGGTCAAAATATTCAGATACATTATGGATTAAGAGAATGGTTTTGAGTTGATGATCAGAACACTGAATGCTGATCCAGTGGTCATGGTAGACAGTTGGATTGTAGAATTTATTTATTTATTTATTTATTTATTGGGCTGTAGAATTTAAATTTCTTTTTTAAGAAAATTTCTTTTTTAATTTGAGAGGCAGAGAGAGACAAAGCACAAGTTGGGGAGGGGCAGAGAGAGAGGGAGACACAGAATCCAAAGCAGGCTCCAGGCTCTGAGATGTCAGCACAGAGCTGGAAGTGGGGCTTGAACTCATGAACCGGGAGATCATGACCTGAGCTGAAATCAGACGCTTAACCTACTGAGCCACTCAGGGGCCCCTGGATTGTAGAATTTAAATTGCAGATTAGTGATTGCCCAATAATACTATGAATAAATTATTTTATGAAGAGACAATTTGAAACCTCTTACTTCTCATTTAAGTAGTTATTATGTTATATACTTTAAAATCATCATTTTATCCACTCCCAGTATCAACCCTGTCAGGTAAGTTTTGTTAACCCGTTTTTAAAAAATGTTTATTTATTTATTTTGAGAAGGAGAGAGAGCACGGGCAGGGGAGGGGCAGAGAGAGAGAGAATACCAAGCAGGTTCCATGTTGTCAGTGCAGAGCCTGAGGTTGGACTCAGTCTCACTAACTGTGAGATCATAACCTGAGCCGAAATCAAGAGTAGGACGCTAAACCTATTGAGCCACCCAGGCACCCCTGTTAACCCATTTTTTATACATGCAGAAAACTGTCATTTGAAAAGGCCAAATAACTACCAAACTTTCACATTTAGAATCTGCACAACAGGTCATTTTGACCTCACAATTCATGTTTGAATCACTATGTTGTAGTATCTTATATTTTCCAATATTCAGTGTAATTTTTGTGTCATTTTAGAGCTTGACCAGACAGGAATTCTGGCAGCTGCTCCAGCAGAATTATGGTAATGAGCTAGGCTTAAATGCTGAAGAGATGGAAAACTTGTCTTTGTCAATCGAGGATACTGTGCAGCCAAGGTAGAGCAAAATGTTAACTATCACAACTTATTAATCATTAATTAAAGCAGAATTATTTTAGACTTTACCAATTTAGAATTTCTATTAAATTGTCCTTGGGTGGAATTTGCCTCTTTGGTCTTTGTAGTGGAATGAAGTGAAAGGTGAGGACATTGAATAGTTTGCCAAATTGGTAAGCAAATATAGGACATACAAGGAAATGTTAATTTTGTAACTCTGTTATCTAGGGTTTGCTTAAAGCATAGTTTTAGTAAAACTTTTTAATAAGGGTCTGAAGAAGTACCTAGTGACATCTCTGAGCTTGTAGATAACAATAAAATAAACTAGCTGGTAGGTATTTTGAGGAATACAAAGACGGTATGATGTTTCCTCAAGGAAACCCTAGCATAGTGCTTGACATGTAGTTGACACTCAATAAATACTGAATGCATTAATGAAAGGAGCTGATAGTACTATGGAGAATGCAAATACATATAATACAGGGTTGAAAATGACATAGGCCAAAAGGAGCAATAGATAATATGATAAATTCAGAGATGAGATTATTTTTGACTGATGGGGATTCTTTGGAAGAGTGGATATTTTTATTAACCTATACAAGTAAAAGTGCATTTTGTCCAATGGTAATTGAGGTCATAGCAATAAAAACAATTAAGGATAATACATTAAAATTCTATAGTAGACATTATAAATGATGGAAGCAAGTGAAAGAAGTGAGTTACCCAAGACCACGTATTGTACAATCCATTTATGTGAAACGGAATCCAGAATGAGCACATCTATAGAGACAGAAAGTAGATTAGTATTTACCAAGGGCTGGGAGGAAGGGAGAATGGGGAGTGATTACTAACAGGCACAGGATTTCTTTTTGTTGATGAACATGCTCTAAACCTAGATAGTGGTTGTGGCTGTACAACTCTATAAACCACTGTATTGTACACATTAAATGGGGTGAATTTTATGGAATGTGAGTTATATCTTAATAAAACTCTTAAAAATTCTATAGCAAGTTAAAAATGGAAATCTTTCAGAAGTCTCAGTATGTTTACAGTTTTTTTTTCTTCTATTTAGGTAGTCTTCTAGTTATGCTGATCCTCTTTATACTGTTTCAGCTCAGCATCAATATTTTAGACTTTTTTACGTGGTTGCACATGCATATTTTATTAGTTTTCTGTAAAGTTAAAAATTTCCATTGTACTACTCTCCTTGTAAAGTTTACTAGTGTCTCTTAGGTACTGGCGCTGGATAGAAAAACAGTTGACATAATGCAGAGAGCCTTGGGTTATGGTAAAGAAGATCTGGATTCTTGTCTGGACTTGGCCACCAAGTATCTGCACAACCTCAAGCAAATCTCTTAGCCTTTCAGATACTCACTTTACCCATCTCTGAAATGAGGTAGTTAAACTAGATAATTTCCAAGGTCCCTGCCAACTCAAGGAGTTTCTTGTGAAGAAGAGAATATTTTTTTTATTAAAAACATTTTTTTTAATTTTATTTTTTTTAATTTACATCCAAGTTAGTTAGCATATAATGCAGCAATGATTTCAGGAGTAGATTCCTTAATGCCCCTTACCCATTTAGCCCATCCCCCCTCCCACAGCCCCTCCCGTAGCCCTCAGTTTGTTCTCCATATTTATGAGTCTCTTCGGTTTTGTCCCCTTCTCTGTTTTTATATTATTTTTGTTTCCCTTCCCTTATGTTCATCTGTTTTGGTTCTTAACTTAGCATAATACTCTCCAGTTCCATCCACGTAGTTGCAAATGGCAAGATTTCATTCTTTTTGATTGCTGAGTAATACTCCATTGTATACATCTTCTTTATCCATTCATCCATCGATGGACATTTGGGCTCTTTCCATACTTTGGCTATTGTTGATAGTGCTGCTATAAACACAGGGGTGCATGTGTCCCTTTGAAACAGCACACCTGTATCCTGTGGATAAATGCCTAGTAATGCAATTGCTGGGTTGTAGGGTAGTTCTATTTTTAGTTTTTTGAGGAACCTCCATACTGTTTTCCAGAATGGCTGCACCAGCTTGTATTCCCATAAAAAAGTTTTTTTTAAATGTTCATTTATTTTTGAGACAGAGAGAGAGCATGAGTGGGGGGAGGGGCAGAGAGAGAGGGAGACAGAATCTAAAGCAGGCTCCAGGCTCCAAGCTGTCAGCACAGAACCCAATGTGGGGCTTGAACCCACGAACCGTGAGATCATGTCCCGAGCCCAGGTCAGACGCTCAACAGACTGAACCACCCAGGCACCCGAGAATAAATATTTTTGACCAAGTGCTTTATACACTGTAAGTTCTAGCTTTTTGAGGTCACCAGAAAACTTTCTTCTAGCAATTGAGTGCTTTCTCAGAGAGAATGTGGCCAGATTCTTATTTCCTCTTCTCTTCCTTTTCCCTTTCTTCCTATTTCCAAAAGAAGTGTATCTGTCTCAAACCTTTATTTCCTCAGCTGTTCCACTTTCTTTGTCTTCATTTTCAATCTCTCCATCACTCTCTCTCCTCCTTTTTCCTTTCTGTATTTCTCCACAACTCACTCCCATCCTTAAAATCCTCAGATGCAGACACTCAGCTGCTGGGCTAGTCTCAAAGGGCCATTTTTCTTGTTGGGTCCCCCTCAGTCTTGCCATTCTGCCTAGCTAGGAGTGACTTGGTGGCAGACCTAAGTATTATTTGGGTGGGGTAGAATAGGGATGAAAGGCCCTTTGGCTTTTCTGTTCCTTCCTCAGGATAATCTAGCTAAAGATGTTAGGCTGCTACTTTATTTTAGAAGAGCTTTAAGTATCTAGCAATGATTACATAGGAATAATAATTGCTCAATAAGTTCAAGGCCTGAAAATTAGATCAGTTGTACTTCTTTTATATTTAATAGATTTTCCTTTCTTTATGCTCCTCCCAGAAAGAGGAAAAGCAAGTCCCAGGACATTTGTTGTAATCATGTTCCTATGACCATTTGAAAGCTGTTCCTTAAACCTGGTTCTTAGGAACAAGAAGAACAAGAAAAGGGGCATGGACTGATCAATGGGGTCTGTGCTCAGACATCAGGAGCACCCCCTTCTGGGAGGGAGTCACCACCTCAGCTGGAACTGAGTCAGAAGAAAGGAAATCCAGAGCTGCCTCCTGGTGCTGACTGGCATCCAACCCAAACATCTAGTCTGTACCTTTCAAAGCTTTGTGGCAGTCCCCAACTGAAATTCAAACAAGCTATAATATTCATTGGGTTACTTGCTGTTATTGCCGCTGGTATTTGGTTAATTTTTAAATGGGTTCTGACATTTATAATGTCTCATATGAGCACATCTTATTTTCAGAAATAAAGTCATTTGCAGGTGGTTTAAGAAGATGGTCTTGTTATAAGTAGGACTTATTTGTTACATTACAAAAAACCATTTGTTGTCAAAATGCTGTATAATAGAGAAGACCTCAGTAGGGAGACTAAATCACTTATTTGTATGAAATTGATCTTGGTTATATTTCTATAATGATGTGTTTCTTATAGAAGTCCAGGAAGAAGCAGCTTGGATGATTGTGGGGCGAGAGATGAAAAATTTTCCAAGTCCATCAGTTTTACACGAGAATCAGTTAATCGTGTTTCAGAGACAGAGTCAATTGATGGAAATTCACCGAAAGGGGTTAGTGTATGATATCCCTTTTAAAATATATCTGATGCTGTCATGTGATCATCATAATGTAAGATCAAATAAAAACAAAGTGTACAAAATTTTTAAAGTTTAGGACGTCAGGCTGCTCCTTTATTTTAAGAAAAAGGTTTTAAGTCTTTAAGTAACCGAGGTTATATGGGAATAATACATTGTTCTGTTCAGAGCTGGATATGGTGCAAAACTACCAGACAGCTCCCTGAGCATCTGTCTATAAGGGGGATAGGCATCATTAAAAATAAAATATGATAGAGAAATTCGTAGTTAGCAGAATTTTTCTCAGGGTAACTGGTGTGTGGTGAAAAGAATTTGTTTTGAAGGGGGAGATGAGAACCCTGAGTAGCATGCTTGAGTAACAGTAAATGCTTTGTAAGCTGACTATGAAAGCAGGCACATCTGGTTAATTACTAGTTAGTTTCTTCCTTTATTTTTTCAAATATCATTATAAGCCCATTGTTCCCTCCCCCATTATTTATTTTTTTTTTAATACTCAGTTTGTCTCCTCTGGCAACAGGAGCCCCTTCAGGTGGGCTCCTTTGTGTTTTAGAAATGATCAATAATCTTTGATGGCTTCCTTTCTTTCTGGCACAACAACATGTCCTAGGCACACTTTGTACACTTACTGTCCCAGACTTAGTATTAACCGTTTTCCTAATGGGCCATTGTTCTTAGTGAAGAATGGTATTTGGAGACCGCACTCTAAGCGCTGAAAGTGCTCCTACTATAGAGCTTTCATTCTGCTGACTGGGGATGTAAGTCTGGGGCCAAAGCTGAATTTCTTGGTTTAAAGCAGAGCTTTGGTTTCAAATTCTGCCTCTGCCACTTGCTACCTGAATGCCCTTAAATGTTAACTTAATTACTTAACATTTCTATGCTTTGGTTTTCTCAACTGTAAGATGAGGACTATAATACTCCACAGGGGTTTTTTTATAAGGATGACATGAATTAATATATGTGAAATTGCATTAAACAATCCCTATTACACATTAAGTATTCAATAACCATAAGCTATTATAATTGAGGGTGAATCTACATGTGGCCAGCAATGGGCCTTTTCTAATTTCTCCCATGGAGCTCTCAGCATCTCCTGTGAATAAATTTGGGGAAACTTTGAATAGAATGTGTAAAGGCCACCAAGTTATCACCTTGTTTTGGGCATCATTCATCTATTTCAGTCAGATTTTGTGTTGTGAATTTCTTGTAAAAGTATTTATATAGAGACCCTTAGGAACTTACTACTGTAGTAAGGGAGGTGATTCTGGATGCTAATCTTTTTGTATGTTCTCATGGAGAAAACCAAACCACTCAAATTTGGGGAGGTAACAGGACAGGAGGTCTCTTGCAGTCTCCTGATCCTTTTATAAAAGTCTGACTTTGAGGATTGGATTCTCAAAATTACTAATCTTGAGTCTTTCTTACAACCTTCTTGACATTGTCTTCTGTACCCGCTCTTAGAATAGTTAATCCATTGGTTCTTCCTTCTAGTTTTGTCCCTGAGGGAGGTCATATTTCATTTAAGGAAAGGGAATGGAATGTAGAGGAAGATTTTAATGTTTTAAGATTGGTCATACATTCATTGTCATTTTCAGGTTATGGGATACAATATAGTTCAGTCCTTTTTTTTTTTTTTTTTTTGCATTCAAGAACAGTATGATGAGATAGATTCTCATATGGCAACAAATATCATATGTCACTAACTTTGTTTCCTTTTTACTTGTAAGAAAGTTGGAAATAACAAAAAGTGAGAAATAACATTTTTTTCTAAGATGAAATAGGTCTTTCTTAAGTTATAAAATTAATATTCTTTGTAAAAATTCAGGAAATATAGAAAAGAACACAAATAAAAACTGTTCAAATGTCCCATGAAAAGATAGTGACTGTTACTTTTCCTACAAGTATTTGTCTATATTCCTTATAATAGGAGCCATACCTTAATTAGAAAGAACAGGAGAAATATGTGTGTAAACTTACTCAGTATCTGCTAAAGAGGCTCTGGATCAGCTAAGTAGGCATGTTGCTTTGCAGTGTGGAACTCCCAAATAAATCAAGTCTCAATTTTAGCAGTAATCTCTGCTTGAAGAATGAGTTCTCTGATGAGGGTAGTTTAATCCTTTCACAAATTGTGTCCTGGGTCCCAGTTGTTATTCTGTTCTCTGAGTGGCCAATAGAAACCCGTATCCTCCCTGGAGTTTCACTGCTACTCAAAGATCTGGGGCAGGAAGTGTAAGGATTACAGATATGCTTCTTTCAATGCAAGAAAGTACTTTGCTATGTAGTTGATATTTTTTATGCTGGTCTATTAAACCTAATTTTAATACTATTCTACTTGAATACTAACATAGCAATAGCATTCATACTTTAATGCCTAACATTAAATTTATTATAGAAACGACATCTCTTGATTAAACCATTCTCAGAAAGTATAGATAGCATCATATATGGAATATATTTTAATGCCCAATCCCTTAGTTCTTTAACAGCAAAGCCAACTGTGTTCTTAGGAGTTTGCTGTGAAATTGTTTCCTGTTGAATGAACCTCTTTCCTCCACTGTACTCTTATGTGACTCTTATTCTCTTTATTTGCTTTCTCTTTCCCCTGTAGTTTCTGGTCTTGAGAATGGGGGAGTTCTCTTCCTTGAGATGATGGGGCAGGTATTGTCTGGGGATACTAATCGGGTTTGACTCCTCCCTCCCTTGCCCACTTTAAAGAATCTACTGCTCTATTATTGTTGTTCTCTGCTCCCCTTTCCCTTCTGCTCAAGTGATTCACGTGATGTTGACTGTGAGTTCTTCTTATATGATGTTCTTCTTAAATTTATTGTTCAGTACTGTGTCAGAAGATGATTTCAGAATATATTATCATATATTATTGTTTACCAATATTTATGGACTGTATTGGAAATGTGATGCAAACATAACAAACACATTTTCCAAAGAGCTGTATTTCCAAGGGTCTTTATTATTAAAGATCTCACTTTAAAATCTAAGCCAATAATCTGTTTTTTAAACTGGATTGTTTTCCTTTTAGGGGTTAAGGAAAGAGGAACCCCCAAGTGAGAAACAGATCAAAAAGAGTCCTTTACTAACTTCAGAGAAGAGGTTAAGTAGAGTACCATCAAAATCACTGGACTTGAATAAAAATGAGTATCTTTCTCTGGACAAAAGCAGCACTTCAGATTCTGTTGATGAAGGTAAAGAATTTCTTATAAATTTTAATAACATTTCAGTTATGTCTCTTAATGTTTATCTTTGTATTGGGTAAGGGCAGTTTGAGAATTTATTCACATTCTCACTCTATAAAAAACCAAAGGAATGGTGGGAGTTGATAGAAAATAGGGGAAAGAAGCTGCCAGATCTAACCCATCTCCACTTTTCAGAAGCCTGGGTTGTGAGGATTTCCATCACATTTAGCTATTAAAATTCCAAGCCGGAAGTCAATGGAGATGGAGCAGTAGCAATGGAAAAGCAAACCTGAATAAAAATCTGCATGGTGTTACAGACACCATAATTGTACTTTCTTTTGACTACCAAAAAAAAAAAAAAAAAAGAAGAAGGAAAAAGAGAGAGATGCAAAAGTAGAGAATATAATAAAAATAAAACCCAGCTGCTTAAAGGAAATTTTATAGAAAATCATGTTCTACTTTCTCTAAGTTAATACTGAAAACCTGGGGCTTGTCATACTTACTAAGTGGGCATTTTAAGGAATCTTTCTTTTTTTTTTTTTTCACTGTAAGATTGTTGACATCTGAAGTCAGTGGGGAGACATTGGGAAAGATACCAAGTAGTGGCTACTTTCCACTTTCAGGAAAGGGTACAAAGCCAGTGGATTTTACTGTATCTGCTTTCTATCTGGCAATGCTCAGAATATCGGGAATGGGGACATTATAGTGGTTTCGATCTGTAGGACATGACTGTATTTGCTAGTTCAGTTACTATTCAGATTAGACCTGGTATGGGATCTCCTGAAGTCTTTCACTGTAAGTGAAAAACAAATCCATGAAAACCAAAACTAAATCCAAGTCAAATCTAAAATCAAATCCAAATCCAAAAGCAAACCAAGACCCAATCTCTGAAAACCAAATCCAAATCAAGTTAGACTTTGGTTTGGGAATACTGTAGTAAGTATCTTTAATGAAAACTAAATCCATGATCTTGAAAATGTAAATAAAAATTCAGTAGTTCCTAAAAATCATAGAATGCATTTGGACAGTTGTTGAGTTCTTTTGAAAACATAGTTGAGAGTTTTTTTTAAGAGGATTGAGCTCCATGAATGACTAGACTCTCTTAGTGTCCTTACCATTCATGCTCTGGTGTGCTGCAGTGTGTATGAATTAGTAATCTGCCTGACTGAACCTCTGACTTTAGGAAGACCTACTCTGGCACCCAGTGGCCAGATAGGTAAGTGACACCAAAACAATTTTTCCCCCTCTTCTTTCTCACCTGCTCTTTTATAAGAATGGTCCTCAAAAAGAAGCTTCCTTATTGGTCCTAAAAAATTAACATTAATGATAAGTTACATAAGGGATAATATATCTCATAGAAGTTGTGTTCATATCTAGAAATAAAGAATAACAGCAGTGTAGTTGCTGTATTGCATGTTAGCCCTGGTCACATTTCCTTCTTGCTGATGTCCCTTTAAAGACTGGTTTTACAGCAGTAAGACTTTACATGTAACATTTAACCTTCTTTTGTGGAGGTTTTCTTTAAGGTGCACGTAATGACTTTTTCCTTATTAGATAACAAATCAAGTACTTCTGTTGCTTCCCCTAAGTAGATTTCAAGATTTCAGGCTTATCATAAGTGGCTATTATAAGGAATCTATTTTTTATTTTCTGGAAGTTGTGACCTTATGAAGATACTTGAAATCAGTGAAGGGGGGAAAATAAGAAAGGTCAAAAGAAGAAAACCATCCCAGGAAATCTGTGTGTGGGTTTAGGGAGAGTTAGGTAGATGGCAGAGTATTCTAAACCAAACATCATCTTATTTAAAATCATAGTATTTTGATCTACCATTGTAAGCAGTCTGAGTGAGAAAATGAGAGGATTTCCTTTTTTTCTCTCTTCTGCCACCTACAGATTGTAATCTTTGGGAGAGTACCATTTTGAAGGAGAGACTCTTTCTAGACTCATGTATCCTCATGAGATATCTTACAGAGGGGCCTGAAACTAGTGTGCTCCCTTTGATGTGGATTTTAACTGAAGCCCATATAGGAAAAGTTAGCCTAGAATCTGCTTTGACTCGTTCTTTTTTTAATGTTCTTATGCTATGGTAGGCCACCCACCAAGATTGAAGGGAGCCTTTTTAGGGATATTTCTGTACTTCCAGAAATGGGTTCTGGGCTGCCACAATGCTGAGCATTGTGTTTTAATCTGTTAAGCCATATATGAACTTGAAAATTTGATATATAATATTTCATAGAATAAGCTGTAGAAGAACCTTGTTTATCTAGAGTGCTGTTGCTGATAGGCTTTCTGCAGCTTATTAACTACATGCTCAGTTTTGGGTAGGAGTGCAGAGAATTTGAGAAGATGCTAGGAGTTTCCTGGCAGATGAAGATGAGTTGACACAATGTATCCACATCTATAAGTATAATGAAATTGTGGCTGCATTTTTGGCTAAAATAACATTTCTGTTGCTATCAGGGTTTACTTCTTTCACCTGCCCTGCTCTATGCGTGTCACGGATAGTCTGTGAAACATCTGCCCCAGGAGGTAGAGCCTTGAGTGGAAGCTGACAAACTGGCTGATGTCATGAGATACCAGGGCTGTGTCATGACAGAATTAAGTTTAGTTTTAATTGCTTAGATCGGAACTTGGTGTGACAGGGTGCCCTAACCAAAGTCACTTATGTTGAGAATGGAAGCTAAGTGAGGCAAAGATTAGGCTGGGGGAGGGGCACATAAGAATAACAAAATTAGAATCCATGATCTACAGCTGACAGACCAAGATGAATTGGAAACTCATGCAAAGAAAAATAGGAATCAGATATCAGGTGATGCTAATTAATAAAGGTGAGGACAAGTAAGCCTCTGGGGAAAGCAGAGGAAAAAGCCATGAAATAGTCTAGCACATCAGGGAAGCACCATGAGACTAAACCAGGTAACCCTGACATAGTTACCTGAGGCAGGTTTTTAAACAACACTCTCAAATTGAACTTGGTTTTTCACATGTAAAGAAAGCCCTCAAACTATGTCAAGAAGACAGCAGGTCACCAGTTTTTAAGAAGATACAGGATAGAACAAATTGTGCGTCCTTAGTTACTTAATTAAACTCCAAATCTGCTTTTCTTGCATACCTATCTGGTACATTTTTCGTGAACTCTCAAAACACTGTCCACATAGGGTTTTAGTTCCATTCATGCCCATGTCCCTCTCATATTTATTTATCTGACTCACTTTTCCCATCCTTTCCACTGGCTACTTTCAAACTGATAGATTTGAATATTTTCAATTCAAGAGATGTTTCTTCTTTATTGGAAATAGTAACCTGCTCTCAAGTTGAGCGCTGTTCCCTTCCCTACTTGAAATACCACTTGCTAGTTTCATATGTCACAGCAATATCACTGGTGATCTTACTTGGATAGGAGGCTTTAAAGTACTGTGAATGTCATACATAAATAATCCCAGATGGAAATAGTTTATTTCAGGTTCTTACTTCCTTGAATTAATTTCCATACAAAAGGTATTAATTTCTAATAGTAATACCACAAATTCCATTTTGTCAGTCATAATATAGAATAATTGATCAACTAATTGAGTTTAAATGAAATATGAAAATGTAATATTTATGTGAGTATAGTTTGTTTCCTTCATAAATGTGAATAGGAAACTTACTTTTGAAAAATTACAGTTTAAGAGTTCCTTAGAGAAATGACTGCTTCTAGGGCTGAGGTGGGGAATATGCAAAATGAGGCTGGAGTTTCTTGTAAGGCCAGAAGTAAAGAAATGCTTCAAAAAAAAAAGAGGTGTATCAAAAGGGCATAGGAGTCAACCTGAAAGAGCTCCTAATGGCCAAAGTAAAAAAAAAAAAATTGAGCAACAAAATATATAATGATAGTATTGGATTATAACCTAAAGTATAAAATAACTATTCATGAGTCCATACTGATACAAATAATCAAATAAATATGTAAATGGGGGACAAAACACAAGCCTTCCTTACAGCGTTTCAAATAATATACATACATACTCCCCCTTCTACACTTGATCTTAGCCAAAAGGCCGAGAAGCGATCATACTCCCCCTTCTAGAAAGTGGAGCTTAATTCTCTTTCCCTTGAGCATGGGCTGAGCTTGGTGACGCATTTCTAACAAACAGAATATGGAAAGGTAAAAATGGTAACTTTACAGAGGAGGAGCCTGCCAGACACCACCGTAACCAAATGATCAAGGTTACCATTATCATAACTCATGCTGATACCCTGGATCCCCTGAGTTTGATGAGAAGGGGACTTCACCTTTGTGGGTGTTCTTCACCAAATCCACAACCCCAGTACAATCATGAAAAAACAGATGAACCCAAATTGAAGGACATTCTACAAAATACCTGACCAGAGTTCTTCAAGTGTGTAAGGCCATTAAAAAACAAGGAAAGAGTGAGGGACTATCACAACTGGAGGAGACAAGGGAGATAAAACAATGAAATGCAGTGTGGTATTTTGGATTGGATCTTTGTACAAAAAAAGGACATTACTGGAAAAGGGTAACAATAACACCGAGCTTCATTGATTGTAAATCTAAAATTATTCCGAAATAAAAAGTTAAAAAATATGGTTGCAAAATGGAAGTCCTATAAATAAAAATTGACCGTAAGATACTTTTTTTAAAGCACTTTCAGTAGTCATTCATTCAGAAATAGTTATTTAACACTTTTATGTGCCAAATACATAATGTATATAGGTGTTTAAAACTGACATAGCCCCTACTCAGATGGAACTTAGAGTCTTATGCAGGAGAGAGGCAATAAACAAGTCAACAGGCCAGTAAAGATAATAATTACAATTCAGGATAAGTTCATGAAGGAAATGAACAGGATTAATAGAATCATCTATACTTGTTTGTTTTCTTTGTGAATATATCAGTAATTTTTTCAATGAACATACATTCTATTTCAGAAAAAGCTATTTCTCAAGCCTAATTGGGAAGTTATCTCAGAAAACCTTAGCATATTACGTAGTTTCAGTGATTTATTTCTCTATGGAAGGAGCCATTATTTGAAATTTCTGTGACTAGCTTTTGCCTACACAAAGTATTGTTGCAGGGAGAAGGTAAATCAATATCCGTCTGATATCCCTAAGTTCTTTGCACCTGTAGCAAAATAGAGAAACACAAATCATTTGATGAGGGAGAAAAAGGAATAGTTGGGGTGAAGGCAGAACTAGAAGAGTTTTTCTGATTCTTGAACTACTGCCTTTTGCTTGACCGGATTGCTTCCCATGGCTTAATATTGACAGATGGCCTACACAGACAGTTGTCAGAGCATGAGATCTGTAATATGGGGGGCTTTTGTCACAGTTTTTATTCTGTATTGATGGAGCGTAATCCTTGAAATAATAAATAATCCTAGTCCTGAAATCATTAAAATTTCGTATGGATTGCTTTACTCTATTTCCTTTATCAGATTCTTACTCCTAGCTGTCTTTTTTTTTTTTTTTAATTTCCTTTTTGATTCTTTTAAGTTAAACTCCTGGCAATAAAATAGAGGTTAAGTTTGTGTTGCCCTGGAGCTGTAGTGAATTCAAATTCCATTTCAGTCACTCACTAGCCATGGAGCTTTGGCAATTCTCTCTCATTGCCTCAGTTTCCTCATCTATACAATGAAGGTGATGATAATACCACTCATCTCACAGGATTGCTGCGAGGATAAGATGAATGGGTACTTGTAAGGTGCTTAGTACAATGCCTGATATATGGTAAGCACCATATAAGCATGGGCTACTTTATATAATGTTTCCAGGGAATATGAGGAGAGGTGAGCAGATATTGCTTCTTCATTTGCTACTGGTAGTTTTCAACATCATCATCATTATCAGGTTCCCAGAAAAATTAAATATTCCACTGGGCTCTACTTAGCTTTGAAGAATACTTTTCAGAAGGATTTCTTAGTTCTCTTAACGTATGGTATTGAGAATAGGTTGTGAATACGATAAGACTTGTCTTGGGGCAGGTGGCTTTAAGTCAGGTTTGAAACGTTATTCAGGCTACCAAGTTGGTGAGTGCAGCAGATATTAGAGCCACTCGTGACTTAATATCTATTGAATGTATGACCATTCAGAAATAGGACCTGCTAATTGCTGTGGTAGATACATCCCTATATGTCCCAGTATTAACCTTACCATTTTTGAAGTATTCTTTTGAGTGATGTAGTACAAGAGTTTGATATTATTCAGGTTAAATATTTTTATATCTTTAGGGTTTTGATGACTGAAATATTGATAATATATGGTTTAATTAAATATATATTATGTATAATTATATACAGTACATATGTATATAATGCCAATTTAGAGTTTTAATAGTGTTTTGGAATGTGCTGATCATTGTAATCACATTTAAAAACCATTTTGTGCCAAAACAAACAAACAAAAACGAAATCTTGAAATTACCATTCCTTAGTTTCTTCCCTTTCAGTCCTGTGTTTTTTGTTGTTGTTGTTTCCTTTTGCTGTTGTTTCCCCAGAAAATATGCCTGAGAAAGATCTTCATGGAAGACTTTATATCAACCGTGTTTTTCATATCAGTGCTGAGAGAATGTTTGAATTGCTCTTCACCAGTTCACGCTTCATGCAGAGATTTGCCGATTCTAGAAATATAATAGGTTGGTTTTGTGTTTAATGATAAATTTGGGAGAATTGTATTATCCTTTAAGAGTTAAGCCTATATAAATTAATTTATGTTGTCAGGGGGAAAATTAGACTTTGATTTTATTTTGGTGATAGATAAACTAATATTTAAGCGTTTTGGTTAAATTTACATGTGAGCAGTGTAGTTGTTCAATTAGTCAGATCCTACCTACAATGAGGTTAAAACCCTTTGAAAACTAAAACCCTATATATTTATTAATGTACCAGTTCAGTTATTTGAACCTAATTTAAAAGGATTCTGTTGCAGAACAGTTGGATTTTAGTAGGGTGTAAATTGGTACAATCACTTTGCAAAATGGTTTGGCAGTAAGCTGAACATAAAAATTCTCTATGACTCACCAATTCTACTAGTAGGTATGTGTATTCTGAATGACATGTACTACAGTGTTCATAGCAGCATTATTAATAATGGTCCCAAAACAAAACAGCCCAGATACCCACCAGTAATATATGGTGGGTATGGATAATAGAATGGATAGACAAATTGTGTATGTTCACACGAAAGATTACTATACTAGCAATGAAAAAAAAAAAAAACAAACAAATCGTTGCTACTTGTAACAATATCAATAAATCTCACAGATATAATGTTAAGCAAAAGAAGCCAGACACAGAAGAGTACATACTTTGATTTCTTTATATAAAGTTCAAAAACAGGCACAACTAATTTATGGACATAGAATCAGCATAGTATTTGCTGTGTGGAGAATTGGGCAGGTAAAGAGTGGGAGGGAACTTTTGGGATGTTGGTAAAGTCTATCTTGATCTGGTACACATGTGTGTTTTCTTTGTGTAAATTCATGGAGCTAGATGTACACTTGAGATTGCAATGGTTATGGTATATCTCAATGAAAATACCAAAAAAAAAAAAAATAGTCCAGTTAGGAAATTAGTTAGACTCATAAAAAGGATTGCACTGATTATGTGTTAAAAGTTCTGGGGCGCCTGGGTGGCGCAGTCGGTTAAGCGTCCGACTTCAGCCAGGTCACGATCTCCCGGTCCGTGAGTTCGAGCCCCGCGTCGGGCTCTGGGCTGATGGCTCAGAGCCTGGAGCCTGTTTCCGATTCTGTGTCTCCCTCTCTCTCTGCCCCTCCCCCATTCATGCTCTGTCTCTCTCTGTCCCCAAAAAAATAAATAAAAGTTGAAAAAAAAAAAAAGTTCTATTTTGCTAAACATCTCAAATAAGCTTATAGTTTGAAACTGAATTTATCCTAAATATCAAAAAATATTTTATAAACCTTGGGAGCTCATGGTTTAGATTGCTATAAAACATTATAAAACAGCAGCAGCAGAGATTCATGTAAGTTTAATCATTTGACATAGTCAAAGAGAAAGTTATTCTACAGTCAGTTTTAAATATAGTTTATAATTGAGCCACTTTATTAACCATTAGATATTATTCTTTTATTTGAAACTTCTATGTATTCATAGATTATATCATTGATATGGATTCTAGATACAAAAAATAATTTATTCTTTTTTTTATTTATATATGAAATTTATTGTCAAATTGGTTTCCATACAACACCCAGTGCTCATCCCAAAAGGTGCCCTCCTCAATACCCATCACCCACCCTCTCCTCCCTCCCACCCCCCATCAACCCTCAGTTTGCTCTCAGATCTCAACAGTCTCTTATGCTTTGGCTCTCTCCCACTCTAACCTCTTTTTTTTTTTTTTCCTTCCCCTCCCCCATGGGTTCCTGTTAAGTTTCTCAGAATCCACATAAGAGTGAAACCATATGGTATCTGTCTTTCTCTGTATGGCTTATTTCACTTAGCATCACACTCTCCAGTTCCATCCACGTTGCTACAAAAGGCCATGTTTCATTTTTTCTCATTGCCACATAGTATTCCATAGTGTATATAAACCACAATTTCTTTATCCATTCATCAGTTGATGGACATTTAGGCTCTTTCCATAATTTGGCTATTGTTGAGAGTGCTGCTATGAACATTGGGGTACAAGTGCCCCTATGCATCAGTACTCCTGTGTCCCTTGGATAAATTCCTAGCAGTGCTATTGCTGGGTCATAGGGTAGGTCTATTTTTAATTTTCTGAGGAACCTCCACACTGCTTTCCAGAGCGGCTGCACCAATTTGCATTCCCACCAACAGTGCAAGAGGGTTCCCGTTTCTCCACATCCTCTCCAGCATCTATAGTCTCCTGATTTGTTCATTTTGGCCACTCTGACTGGCGTGAGGTGATACCTGAGTGTGGTTTTGATTTGTATTTCCCTGATAAGGAGCGACGCTGAACATCTTTTCATGTGCCTGTTGGCCATCCGGATGTCTTCTTTAGAGAAGTGTCTATTCATGTTTTCTGCCCATTTCTTCACTGGGTTATTTGCTTTTCGGGTGTGGAGTTTGGTGAGCTCTTTATAGATTTTGGATACTAGCCCTTTGTCCGATATGTCATTTGCAAATATCTTTTCCCATTCCGTTGGTTGCCTTTTGGTTTTGTTGGTTGTTTCCTTTGCTGTGCAGAAGCTTTTTATCTTCATAAGGTCCCAGTAATTCACTTTTGCTTTTAATTCCCTTGCCTTTGGGGATGTGTCGAGTAAGAGATTGCTACGGCTGAGGTCAGAGAGGTCTTTTCCTGCTTTCTCCTCTAAGGTTTTGATGGTTTCCTGTCTCACATTCAGGTCCTTGATCCATTTTGAGTTTATTTTTGTGAATGGTGTGAGAAAGTGGTCTAGTTTCAACCTTCTGCATGTTGCTGTCCAGTTCTCCCAGCACCATTTGTTAAAGAGACTGTCTTTTTTCCATTGGATGTTCTTTCCTGCTTTGTCAAAGATGAGTTGGCCATACGTTTGTGGGTCTAGTTCTGGGGTTTCTATTCTATTCCATTGGTCTATGTGTCTGTTTTTGTGCCAATACCATGCTGTCTTGATGATGACAGCTTTGTAGTAGAGGCTAAAGTCTGGGATTGTGATGCCTCCTGCTTTGGTCTTCTTCTTCAAAATTACTTGGGCTATTCGGGGGCTTTTGTGGTTCCATATGAATTTTAGGATTGCTTGTTCTAGTTTCGAGAAGAATGCTGGTGCAATTTTGATTGGGATTGCATTGAATGTGTAGATAGCTTTGGGTAGTATTGACATTTTGACAATATTTATTCTTCCAATCCATGAGCAGGGAATGTCTTTCCATTTCTTTAAATCTTCTTCAATTACCTTCATAAGCTTTCTATAGTTTTCAGCATACAGATCCTTTACATCTTTGGTTAGATTTATTCCTAGGTATTTTATGCTTCTTGGTGCAATTGTGAATGGGATCAGTTTCTTTACTTGTCTTTCTGTTGCTTCATTGTTAGTGTATAAGAATGCAACTGATTTCTGTACATTGATTTTGTATCCTGCAACTTTGCTGAATTCATGTATCAGTTCTAGCAGACTTTTGGTGGAGTCTGTCGGATTTTCCATGTATAATATCATGTCATCTGCAAAAAGCGAAAGCTTGACTTCATCTTTGCCAATTTGGATGCCTTTGATTTCCTTTTGTTGTCTGATTGCTGATGCTAGAACTTCCAGCACTATGTTAAACAACAGTGGTGAGAGTGGGCATCCCTATCGTGTTCCTGATCTCAGGGAAAAAGCTCTCAGTTTTTCCCCGTTGAGGATGATGTTAGCTGTGGGCTTTTCATAAATGGCTTTTATGATCTTTAAGTATGTTCCTTCTATCCCGACTTTCTCAAGGGTTTTTATTAAGAAAGGGTGCTGGATTTTGTCAAAGGCCTTTTCTGCATCGATTGACAGGATCATATGGTTCTTCTCTTTTTTTTTGTTAATGTGATGTATCACGCTGATTGATTTGCGAATGTTGAACCAGCCCTGCATCCCAGGAATGAATCCCACTTGATCATGGTGAATAATTCTTTTTATATGCCGTTGAATTCGATTTGCTAGTATCTTATTGAGAATTTTTGCATCCATATTCATCAGGGATATTGGCCTGTAGTTCTCTTTTTTTACTGGGTCTCTGTCTGGTTTAGGAATCAAAGTAATACTGGCTTCATAGAATGAGTCTGGAAGTTTTCCTTCCCTTTCTATTTCTTGGAATAGCTTGAGAAGGATAGGTATTATCTCTGCTTTAAACGTCTGGTAGAACTCCCCTGGGAAGCCATCTGGTCCTGGACTCTTATTTGTTGGGAGGTTTTTGATAAACGATTCAATTTCTTCGCTGGTTATGGGTCTGTTCAAGCTTTCTATTTCCTCCTGATTGAGTTTTGGAAGAGTGTGGGTGTTCAGGAATTTGTCCATTTCTTCCAGGTTGTCCAATTTGTTGGCATATAATTTTTCATAGTATTCCCTGATAATTGTTTGTATCTCTGAGGGATTGGTTGTAAT